CCCACCAGGGTACTGGCAAGCTAGTATCTTTCTGGTAAGTCTTAGAGCAACATGCCTGTTAGTGGTGTAGGTGGTGATGGCTGAAAAGTGTTCTTCCTTCACTGCCTACATTTATTTATTTATTTATTTATTTGATTTTTACCCCGCCCCTCTAGACCATGTCTACTCGGGGCGGCTTACAAAAAACAAAACAGTATAAAAATATATAAAATCATAAAATTACATATTTCAATTAAGTTGCACAGATAATGTGCAGCTATTCCACCTCAGTGTATGGGGCTGATGGGAATTGTAGTCCAAAGCACTTTGAGAAGACCAGGCTAGAGAAGTCTGACCTGGACAATGCCACAGGGCGTTGCAGTAAAGAAGCAGAACATTACATGGACCCCACCAAGCAAAACTCACTTTACATGTCATAACCTATCGAGAGCTGGATATACTAACTGAAATACTATGCCACCCAAACTGAAATACTATGCCACCCACTTCTTTTGGGGAGATTCCATCCCTCCATGTTGCTAAGGAAATGCTTGACTAAGCATCAGCTAGGCTGGAGAGAGTAACTCGACACATGAAAGAAAGCAAAAACTCTGAGGGAAAAGATTTCGTTTCTGTCAAAGAAAAAACCCTCCTGGATCTTCATGCAAAATTATTATTTACAGAAAGTTACCAAGACAGGTCTGAATCACTGCGCCCTGACAAAATCTGGAATGAGACTGTTTGATATGAGAGCCCTGACAAGAACTTGTAAAATTGTACTCTAGGGATTTGGGGTTCTTTCTCTTTTTCTTTCTTTCTTTTCTTTTTCTTTCTTGAAATTATACTTTAGGGATTTGGGGTACTTTCTCTTTTTCTTTCTTTCTTTCTTTTGGAGGGGAGTACCAAAGCTTCCAGAGTCCCCATGTTTCTTTATATATTGGGGATATTATTGTTCAAAAGAGCAACGTCTCAAAACTCCAATTGTTAGAACTTGTGTGAGGGAGATCTTGAAGAGAACAGAGCTTGAAGTGTCACTTTTTAAAAGGAACTTGCATTATTCATTAGTTCTTGGCAACCAGATTACCTTTATGATTATCGTTGCCCAAGTTGCTCAGGTAATACTTCTGTTGGGCTTTATTAACATACTGCTTTGTCTTTACAAACAGGCCAAAAAACAAACAAACAAAAAAACCATTATTCATTAGTTCTTGGCAGCCAGATTACCTTTATGATTATCATTGCCCAAGTTGCTCAGGTAATACTTGTGTTGGGCTTTATTAACATACTGCCTTGTCTTTGCAAGCAGGCCAAAAAACAAACAAAAAAACCCAGGGAAATCCTTTGGTTCCCCTAATGGTATGCAATCCCCTGATATTGCACTTGAGACATAGTTACAAAAATACAAAAGACAAAACCAAATAATTATTTTCTTGCCACTTAGGACTGGTAAGAGAATGCCATTTAAAAATCCTGTCAAAGCAAAGGCCAAAATTAGGAAAGAAGAACATTATTTGAAGAAAAATGACCCACATCTCATCTTGATTCATAATAACAGAAAGCTTGCTGTATCACCAATTATTTATTGTTATTGCTGTTATGTGCTGTCATGTTGGAACCATCTTATCGCAACTCTAACAGGGCTTTCAAGGTAAATGAGATATTTAAGAATTTGTTTTATCAGTTCCATACCCCCAGTGAGTTTCCATGGCTGGGAATTTGAACCCAGGCCTCCTGAGTCCTAGTCCGTCACTCTGTCCACTACACCTCACTGGGTATCCCAATTATTTATTATTGGTAAGGAAGTTACTTTAAATCCTGTTTTACCTCCATTGATGACAAGGCCAAATGCATAGCTCTCCTGCTCCCCCACCTCATTCTCACTACAATACAGTGGTGCCTCGACTTACAAACGACCCTACCTACGAACATTTCGACTTACGAACAGCTCTGGTTGCAACATTTTGCTTTGACTTGCGAATGGAGCTTCCACTTAACAAACCAAAACAGGCAGAGGAAAAAGGCAGGCAATTCAGATTTCTAACTGTAGGTGGCAACAAGGCTGCTTTGTACTATAGCTCTTTCACTTTCGGCAGTTAGAGAGTGTGTTGTTATTGTTGGAGGCTTGGGAGAGCATCCTTCTGCTTCGGAGTGAGAGAGTGTGTGTGTATGTCTGCAGGGAGGTAAGCTGCTGTTTTCTCCTTTTAAAAAAGCTGTTCTGGGTGGGTTTTGGCTGGGGCGGGTATGTTCCTGTGCTATGTTGTTGTTGGCTTTGCTGTTTATTTTGGAGTTTTTTCTTCTTCTTCTTAAACCTCAGCAATGGAGGTGGTTTTACTTTTTGTTTATGGAGTTTTTTTCTTCTTCTTAAACCTCAGCAGTGGATGTGGCTTTAGTGTTTGCTTTTGGAAGGTTTTTTTTTTCTTAAACCTCAGCAGTGGATGTGGCTTTAGTGTTTGTTTTTGGAAGGTTTTTTTCTTCTTAAACCTCAGCAATGGAGCACCTTCCGACTGTGTTCTTTTTATTTTTTTGGTGATTTTTTTTCTTCAGCCAGAACAGATTAATCAGCTTTCAATGCATTCCTATGGGAAATGGTGCTTCAACTTACAGACATTTCGACTTACAAACACCATTCCAACACAGGTTAAGTTCGTACGTCGAGGTACCACTGTATGTGAGATACGTCATACTGTGATGAAAGAGAGCTTGAGACTGAGAGTTGTCCGAATGTCATACTGTGATGAAAGAGAGCTTGAGACGGAGAGTTGTCCGAGGTCACCCAGTGAGTTTCATGGTTCAGTGGGGACTAGAACCTGCTTGTACCACAACTGTCTGAATAAGGTAACAGTTCTTGAGTATGCAACACCCTGTTACTTTCATTTTTTCAAATGACCAACTACTGCATGTGTTTGTATATGGGGTGTTCTCTTATGTGTGGCTCTGAGTGTTTGCATGTGGAACTTTCCCTCCTGTATTTGTGTGTGATGTATATAAAAAGTTAACATTCTGAAGATGAGGACAGATCCCAAGATTTCTTTCCCATTCAGACAGTTTCAGAACGTACAGTCAAAACTAGAAGTTATAGTGGTAAGACACAAATTGTTATATGAATTAAAAATAATGGTTGTGGCATTCACCCTTGTGGCACCTGCGTGTTTTGCCCTCACAAAGGCTCACATTTCTCTCGCTGACACCAGTGGATTACCTTATGACGTTTGTCAGAACACTTGTCTTCTGAGTAAAAACTGAACTTATTCAATTGAAGCAGATTTAATAATAACAGAATTTCTTCAGATAAACATTGTACACAAGCAAATCATTGCTTGTACACAAGCAAATCAATCCATAGGGAGCCCCCTCAGCCTGGTTATAGCAAATTTCTACATGGATCATTTCGAAAACTTGCCCTGGCTTCGGCACCCCTCGCACCCATAGTCTGGTTCCGATACGTGGATGACACCTTTGCAATCTGGAGCGACAGTGAAGAAAAATTGAAAGAATTTCTGAACCATCTCAACAGCATCCACCCAAATATACAATTCACCATGGAAAAAGAAAGAGAGGACCAACTCCCGTTCATAGATGTCATGGTCACACGCAAAACTGACCTCCGACTGGGACACAAGGTCTACAGAAAACCCACCCACACAGACCAGTATCTACACAAAAACTCCAACCACCACCCACAGCAAAAGAGAGGCATAATCAAAACACTGGTAGACCGTGCAAATCGGAACTGTGAAGCTCAGTTTCTCAGCAGTGAACTCAACCATCTGAATTCGGCCCTACAGGCAAATGGCTACTCCAAAAATGAAATCACAAGAGCCATCAAACCAAGAAAATAACACCAAACTGAAAAAGAAAAACAGCCAGCCACAAATAAAGTATTTCTGCCATACATCAAAGGGATCACGGACCACATGGGGAAACTTTTGAAAAAACACAACCTACAAACAGTATTCAAGCCCACCACAAAAATACAACAAATGTTACGGTCAGCAAAGGACAGAAGGGACCCCCTCACCACTGCAGGAGTATACCGGATACCTTGCAGTTGTGGCCAGGTATATATTGGAACCACAAAACGAAGCATCCAGACCAGAATCAAAGAACATGAGAGACACTGCAGACTAAAACAACCAGCAAAATCTGCAGTAGCTGAACATGCCCTAAAACAAGCTGGTCATGAAATTCTATTTCAAAATACTGAAATACTGGACAACACCAGCAATTATTATGTCAGACTGCACAGGGAAGCCATTGAAATCCACAAGCATCAGCAGAACAAAAAAGAGGAAAGTTTGAAACTCAACAAAACTTGGCTCCCAGCTCTGAAAAATACAGTGTGCAAAAGGTCAACGAACTCTACTTAGCCACAAGGAACAGGGATCACTACACACAGAAAACCAGCTAATGACACCCATCAATCACAGTGACAGATAATCTCTCCTCCTTATCACAACAATACACCCACAACAAGACACACTAATCACCCATCTCCTGAAAAGGACAAAAGCTGATCTCACAGCTATAAATACTCCATTCCCAAGCGAACTACACCAGAGCACAGAGTTCTGTCCTCTGAAGATGCCGGCCATGTAGACTGGCGAAACGTTAGGAAGAACAACCTTCAGAACACGGCCAAGAGCACGAAAAACCCACAACAACCATTAGATCCTGGCTGTGAAAGCCTTTGCAAATACAAATCATTAACAGTTCTCTCAGTACATACTTTTCTCTTGCAATATCATTATCATTTTCTCTACCTATTTTCTTAACCAGTCTTATCACTCAGTATCTGTTTCCTCCCTCTCTGACTAACAAGCCCTAACTCTATCTGGATCGCAATCCAATCTCTATCTGGATCTTATCACAATCTCTATCTGTTTCCTCCTTCTCTTGCCAAGCCTCATAGAGCTGATGACTCCGCCTCTCCAATCCTCTCATAGGCTCATGCAAATTAGCTCATGACTATGAATGGCATGAGTGATGTGGGGTGATCGTCACAATGGTCTTTCCCTGCTCACATAAGGACAAGAGGGAAAGGGCTACCCTAACCCATCTTGGAAGAGACAGTAAGCAGACTCTCTCTCATACCTCCACTAGTGTTCCTATAAGGGTTGAGGGGCCAAGAGAAGGGCCTCCCCTAGCAATTTCAGGTTCCAGGCAAGCTTATATGGGAGAATATGGCTGGGCAATAGTCAAGACTGTATTTAGATGCAAAGGAAAGACGTTCTTTTGTTATATCATCTATTAGTCCACACAAGATCAAACCAAGGTTGCCCTATTGTCTTTTTCACCCAGATGTTAGGTCCTTAACCCTGTGCACCTTTAGACCATCAGCTATTAAGAATTCCAATTTTCTTTTTTTCAAAAAATCCTGAGTTGGCATATTCTAGCTCTAGACAGTCTAGACAGTCTTATTTGCACATTATGCAAATTAGGTACCATTATCGAGTGGATTTTAAACCTTCATAGTTTTTAACACAGTAAGTTTATAGAGACCGAGCAGGAAACAAGGACTCTATTTAATTACTGGGCACATATTTGAATAATTTTTGCCTCAAATAATATTTATTTTGTGTGATATCATTATCCAATTACTTTAAACTTTATGAACAATGTGAACATTTGAATATTCCAGACCTCCTCAGCAAGCAAATATTTTATAAAATGTGTGAGCTGAGAAAGAAGTAAAAATTGCAAAAGTCTTAAAATTTGGCATGTGGGGACAGAGAGGCAAGAGAGCCTGTAACCTTATACTTGACACCTTTGTTCTGCATTGATCAGCGGTCCAAATCTCATGTCAGCAGTGGTATGCTTTCAAAAACAATTATTAGAATCCCACTGCTGATTTGTGTGTGCTGTCGATTCTGACTTATGGCAACATTTTCAGGGTTTTGGGGGTTTTTTTGGGTACAGAATACATTTTGTTTGGGGTTTTTTTTGGGTACAGAATACATTTTGTTTAGTCGTTAAGTTGTGTCTGACTCTTCGTGACCCCATGGACCAGAGCACACCAGGCCCTCCTGTCTTCCACTGCCTCCCGGAGTTTGGTCAAATTCATGTTGGTAGCTTCGGTGACACTTTCCAACCATCTCATCCTCTGTCATTCCCTTCTCCTCTTGCCTTCACACTTTCCCAACATCAGGGAGTTTTCCAGGGAGTCTTGTCTTCTCATAAGATGGCCAAAGTATTGGAGCCTCAGCTTCAGGATCTGTCCTTCCAGTGAGCACACAGGGCTGATTTCTTTCAAAATGGATAGGTTTGTTCTCCTTGCAGTCCAGGGATCTCTCAAGAGTCTCCTCCAGCACCACAATTCAAAAGCATCAATTCTTTGGCAGTCAGTCTTCTTTATAGTCCAGCTCTCACTTCCATACATCACTACTGGAAAAACCATAGCTTTGACTATGCAGACCTTTGTCAGCAAGGTGATGTCTATGCTTTTTAAGATGTTGTCTAGCATCTTAAAAATACATACAAGTGGTTTATTGTTCCCTTCTTTAGGGGACATCCTGGCATTATGCAGTTTGCCCAAGGCCACATAGGCTGGCTCCTTTCCCCACCTGCCATCTTCTGTAAGCAATGCTGATCACCGTGGAGCAATTTCCATTCCAAAGGAATAGCTGTTGTTTCACAAGTGGCCTTTGAGGAGAGTTTCAAAAGCTATTTTTTTAGAAGGATGAATACAATGACATGCCAAAGCTAACACTGTTCAGTTATAGATGGCTTCCTTATATCATTATATGCATTCTTCCAACAACTAACTTTCCAGAGTATGCCTGTGAGGGTGTTCTCCCACTGGTGGTTTCTTTTTTCAACATTATCATTTCTGATGTCAGATTTAGGTCATCATCATCATCAAGTTTATTACAGTCAAAGACAGAATGGCTGATGATCAGAGTTCAATAGATCTCCTGTATGGAGAATTAGTGCAGGGAAATCACCCCAGAAGGAGACCACAGCTGTGATACAAGGATATCTGCAAGTGGGATATGAAGGCCTTAGGAATGGACCTCAACTGATGGGAAACCTTGACATCTGAGTGTTCAGCCTAGAGGCAGGCGGTGCATCATGGCCTCTCCCAGTTTGAAGAGACACTTGTACAGCAGGCTGAGGCAAAGAGGCAGTCCTGAAAGCAGCAAAACTAGGGAGCTGGACAGGGGACAGATTGTATTTGTCTTCAGTGTGGAAAGGATTGTCTCTCTCGAATTGGCCTTCTCGGCCACACTAGACGCTGTTCCAAGACCTCCATACAGAGCATGTTACTATAGTCTCTCGAGACTGAAGGATGCTCTCACACACTCCCAGCTCCTCTGTATGTTCTCTTTAACAAACAGATTTGCCTTCGGGCATGACAGTTTCTTTTGTCTCCACTTCCGCTGCCACCAGAGGAAATCCTTCAATTACCAATTAGGACCAAAGAATCAGTTGTGTGAAATATAATGTTGTTTATTAACAGATTAACATATTTAAGACTCAAGGTAATCATAGATGATATTGTATTTGATATTCATTAAACTTCATTTAACTTGGAAAAGTGCTGGTTACTTTGTATTTAGTTTCAATCACTTTATAACAGTTTGTTTCTTACAGTTTTCATTGCACTCAGTTCTTTTTCCAAAACAATTCTTCTCACTACCTAACTCTTTCCCTAACTCCTAACCAACTGTCCTATCTCATCACTAAAGGACACCCCTAACTCCTGGCTAACTGAAATCCTAACTTTAACTGAAACTGTAACTGTCCTCCATTCTCTTCTTATATTCTCTGGTTCCGCCCTCCTGCACAACTATTGGCTACTGAATTCGTGTTCCATTGTGATGGACAGGTGTGGTTTCTGGCCTGTCCATCACAGATGCCTACTATGGACTACAGGGAAGCCCTATAAATCTGCCTTTCCCAAGGTAGAAGAAAAATTAAGTACAAGTTATCCAAGATAAAGGAAAGAAGATGCATGATAATAATAATAATAATAATAATAATCTGCATCTAGGCCAGATCTGAGGTGGGGGGAAAAACACAAGGGCTGCCCAGCTGCCTATTACCCCTCCAATGCAGGTCACTTGCTGTGCTGGTGTTTTATTCCCACGTTTGTACCCTTGTGAACCAACCTGTTTTTGCTACTATTTAAGGTCAGAGTTTGTAAGCAAACACAGACCTAGCACTTGTGAGAAGAAATTGTTTAGTATGTGAGAAGAAATTGTTCAGTATGGGCTGTAGGTTGTCACATACTTCTTCCTTGAAAAGCAAGGGGCATCTCTCATTCAATCTGTAGATCTGGGGGTCATAAGGCCGTTTAAGGCTCATTGTACACAGTACTGTATAGAAAAGACATTCAAATGCTATGGAAGAGGAGAGGAGAGAGAGCTATACGGGGGTCCAGCACCTCTAACCCCAGCGGTGCTGAAAGGAGAAGTATACACTGGACCGGTCTTATTAGTTTTGCCATTTTCTCTTACAAGCCTATCCTCTACTAAAATACTCCCGGACACACCAATCTGCTTTTGGGCATATATAATATCTTTGAAATTTAGGTCAACAACATCGGATGAAAGGAGAGCTGCACCGCCACGAAGTTCGTGATCCAGCTGTCCCTCGCTTAAGGCGCCCAGCGCCCCATCAGTCTTGACCTGCGAGGCCAACGTCACCCTTCCGGCTCCCTCCTGCCCCTCGCGCGCCGATGTGTCGCAGCAGCTCCGGCCCCGCTTGGTGACGTCACACAAGGGGGCGTGACCTTGTGGATGTTGTGGTGACGGCGCCGCCATTTTGTTAGGTAAAGCGGGGGGCTTGTCTTCCTCGGCCCGAGCCAGGTAGGGAACGGGCGAGCGATGTCGGCTTTCTCGGAAGCGGCGCTGGAGCGGAAGCTGTCGGAGCTGAGCAATTCTCAACAGAGCGTCCAGACGCTGAGCTTGTGGCTCATCCACCACCGAAAGCACTCGCCCCTCATCGTCACCGTTTGGGAGCGTGAATTGCGAAAAGGTGAGGGGAGGTAGGCGGGAGGGACGCAGGCAGGCAAAGGGACCGGCCGGCCGACCCACCGACCGTGGACTCCCACAGCGCGGGGGGACGTAGCTTTCCCTCGGGAGAAGAACGCAACGTCCGTGCTGGTGGATGGATGGATGGCTCGCCCTGCGACCCGCGCATTAACACCGGGGGTTGCGCGCCCCTCCGGAGGGAGCTGAGGAGAGGCGGTGGAGGGAGGGAGGGACCCCGGCCGGACTCCTTTTGGCCTTGCCTCCCAGGGCGGGGCGTCGGTCTCGACGATAAACCAGAGAAAAGGCTTCTCCTGAAGACGCGGGAGTGCGTTTGAACAGTTTCACTCTTAAGTGTCGTCACGCTCCCTGCCACCCGTTGTTACAGGTCTAGGGGAGTGGAAAGAACAACTTGGTTTGGTTTGGTTTTGGGCTTCATACATTATAACGTTGCCACACGGTAGAATTGCCATGGACTGTAGCGTAAGCTTTTTTTTTTTTTAATGTTACCTCAACTAGCACCCTGTTGAACATCGGGGGACCTAAATTCCTGGTAACCATTGCTTTGGGTCTCTTTGTAAATGACTGCATCTGTGTTCAGGGGGAACACTATTGGAACCTTTGAGTGAGCATATTTACTATCCAGGTATGCCGGATTTACATTGAGGTTGGCCATATGCATATTTACTTATAAAGCAAGCCTAACTGTTTTAGAAAGTATTAACCCTAGATAATTGTGTCACACTACAGAATATAGGATCCCAGCCTTCCATCCAGCAGTAGGTTTGGAAGCGTCACTGAGGTAAAGGGACTACCAGATTGTGTTGGGAGGCTTGACTGGCAAGCTATTGGTGGTATATGTAAAGAAGATGCAGTAAGCAAAAGTTATTCCCTAAAGGGAGTTAGAGGTGGTTGTTAGGTCCCAGATAAAACTCTGCTGTCACTGTCTGTGGCAAGCATTTCAGAACTGTTTTATTTAACATCAGCTTACATCATGTTAATAACTTGTATCACTTTCATAGAACATTGGGGAGAATATTGGGCTGCATGGGACAACATTCAGTATAACCATTACATAGGCAATTAAGATACAGAAGTGCTAATGTGATCTTCAAACACCAGTTGGATCACCTGGTAGAGTTTGGATGGTACCAGTGTCTTCCTGAGGGAAAAGCCACAGTAGTATTCCCATTAAGGTAATCTATGTTGTGCAAATTTAGTAGTGTTATTAAGCTCCTGCTGAAAACTCTTGGAACACTAAGTTTAAGAATACATAGTGTCTTTATCAAAAGCCACACATTGGAAGCAGTTCAAATATTTTGGTTGTGATGGATAAACAGAAAAAAATGCCAGAATCTTGTTTTCTTCAGTTCACTCACTACCTTGGCTAGCCATAATCCTAGACATATTTACTCAGAAGTAGACTTTATTCTCTTTTGTGTAGCTCACTTCCAGGTAAGTTTGCATAGAGTTGCAGCCTTATTTTCTTACCTTGTTCTACACTTTTATAAGAGACCAGAGGCAACCCCTAGCTTCAAATTTTGGAAGCTACCTGAGCAGACATCACTTGTACAATTAAAGTTGTAGAATTAAAAGTGGGAAGAGGGATGAAAATAGAGATGTAGTTATATTTCACTAAAAACTTTTGTGGATCAAAATCTGCTTCATAGACAAAGTTTGCAAATGAATGCCCTTAATACTGATACATATCTGTATGGCAGTAAGGCTAATGGCTAGGTCACAAACACTTGTTACAAGCATTTAAAGTGACAGCTGTATTGTTAGTTAGCCCAGATGTTTTCCTCTTGCCTGCAGAGAAGGGCTGGAGCTCATTTGAAGGTAGGCATCCAGAGTGGTTCAGTTTACACAGCTATTTCCTACCTTTCTGCCTAATTTGAAGATGGAGACATTTCCTATCATTTCACTGACAGTAGACCCTGAGGTTTAGAGCAACTGTCAGGGATTATCCCTACCAAATTCCATCTGGAAGGGAACACAGGTTCCTTGTCAACTTTCCTAGTGGGCAGTGAAGTCCTAGGAAGAAAAGAAAGGTTGACCGTAATGTCATGGATGAGTGGGCATTTCAGTGGGACATTTCCTCATGCACATTTATGCTGGATTTTGGTGCTGGACATGATATGTGAAACAAACACAATTGGCTGTTTTATTTGATTTCTGACTAGCTAGAAAAGGGGGCTACTCAACTGTTCGTGTTCAAAGATATTGGAAATACTAGAGGTTCTTGTGTGCCTTTGGTTCATTGAGAAACTCAGAATCTGGGCCTATTGAATTTTCAAGCATTTAATGGATTAGATTTAATTATAGCTATCTAGTTGAGAATTGTTAGGTCTGCAGTGGTATGCATTTCAGTGACATTTAAGTAGTGATGAGAGTTTAAGTGAACTGAGTCATGTAGGCTAAGACTGGGAAGACCTGACAAGTGACATGATCAGAGAGTTGTGTTTGGCTTTCTTGAAAATGGATCATAGGCACAATTTGTCTTGGTGACTTTGTTTACTTAGGTAATTGAGACAGTGTTGATAAGGAGTAGCAACGGGCATGAATCACTTTGTGCCAGGTTGTTGATGTGGCACTACAGGTGCTTTGTGTTCTCTTCCCCCACTCCCTGGCTGCCTCCCACACACACCAGCCGGTGCTCACTCTCCTCCTTGTTGTATGATTGTCCAGTCACAGCAGAAGTGTGTGTTTCCCTCCTCTGGCAGCCACTCAGATGGGAAGATGGGGCAGGGATTCCTGCAGTGCAGCCTTTGAGTGGGCAGCTGCTAGAAGAGGGAAGCAGGCACTTCTGCATGTGACAAGGAGGAGATGAGCAGTGTATGCCAGCTGGTGAGTGGGGCAGCTGGTCAAGGGGTGGGAGAAGGGAATGCTCTGTACCTGTGGTGTCCCGGCCCCAACTCACAACAACCCGACATGAAGTGATTCATGCTCATCTTTAGTAAGGACTCTATAGTTTAAAGGAAGACATTAGCTGAAATTCTGTTTAGAGCAGAAAGCCTCCACTACAGTAGGCCCACTGAATTGGGAATTTAGGGAGGAGTTCCCAGGGATTCACAGGACCTACTGTTGTTGCAACATACTACATTAAGCAGCAGAATTTCAGTCAGTACTAGAGAAAAAGATTAATTCTTTTGTGAATTTACGTAAAATGTGGTTCATACATTTAACAGAAATTATAAATATTGAAGAATGCTCAGGTGGGAAATTTATGTATCCTCTACCACTACCCACTATCTTTTTAGGAAAAACTATTTATTAGGATGGGGCCAGGGTGAAAGCCCAGATTTTAATCCAGATTTGGCAGTTTAGCATCTCACAAAACAGTGAGTGAACTAAAAGAGAAGAAAAATACTGGCTAAAAATCTGTATGTTGGCAAATGGTGTGCAGAAAAAAAAGTGTGCACAGTTTTGTATGAATTTAAAAAACACCTTAAACCAGATTAAACCACATTTAAGATTGGAAAAAATAAGGAACTAATTGGAACTGAAATTGTCAGATTCACCCATCTCCTTCTATCCGGGTAAATAACAGTTTTCTAAAATTTATACTGCAAGTACAACTAGCCTGTTTAGCCTTGAGCAAGCTACATAATCCCAAAGTGCCCCCAGAAGAAGGGAATGGTAAACCACTTTTTAGTATTCTCTACCTGGAAAACCCTTAAAAGGGTTGCTATAAGTCAAAATTGACTTGACAACAAATGATTATTATTATTATTAACTACTCTGAGATGAAATTATTTCTTTGTTTCAATTGATTTGGTTTATATCCAGCTTTTCCTCATAAAAATTTAGGGTGGCTCTTTACATTAAAATGAGCCCCGTATAACGGGCGCCCCGTTTAACGATGAATCCGCATAGCGATGGCTTTTTTGTGATCGCAAAAGCAATCACATTGTGATGATTTAGGTAGTAAAAAATCGCTTTGCGATGATCGGTAAGCTGTTTCGCTTACCGATTTTCACATAGTGATGTTTTTGGAACAACTGATCAGCGGTTCCAAAATGGCCGCCAGGTAATTAAAATAGCCGCGTGATGTGTTTTCACGCCCATTCCTCGCTTACCGGGCAGCGAAAATGGCGGCCGTATGGAGGATTTTCGCATAATGGTGAGTTTACAGCCCATAGGAACACATTAAATGTGTTTTAATGCATTCCTATGGACCTTTTTGTTCCGTATAGCGACGAATCCACATAGTGACGATTTTTCCGGAACGGATTATCGTCGCTATGCGGGGCACCACTGTAAATGTGTACAATAGCTAGTTTGTTTTTTTAGTGTCCTTGCATAGAACGTAATAAGGATGAAACAGATGAACCCTTATCTGGAAGTTAAAATTCAAAGTATCTGATTATGTTCCTAAAATCTATTTTGTACAGTTTTGCAAACAGAAGTAGTGGCTTCAGACCTTGCTTTCATAAATGTGGTTGTTGGGGCTACTGAGTTAGAAGAAATGTTGATGTGATAGCATCCCCTACACATGCTTTATTTGTTACATCCAAAATATAAAGTGATAATAACAAGAAGCACCCTGTAAGTGCAGTTGTGCTAAATTACAAAATTAAAGAAGAAAATTGTGCAGTCTTTTGCACAACACAATGGTATCAGATTCTGACCTTATGAGCAACCACTAATGCACTGGCAGAATACAGTCAACCCTCGACTTACAAATGGCTCTAGTTACAAACATTTCGACTTACAAACCGCTCTTATAGAAAAATATTGACTCGACTTGCAAACTTAGATTTGAGTTACGAACCAAAAAATGTGTTGGAGGTGGGGAAAGCGTGAAATTTGAACTTTCAGTTAACCGTTGGCCAGTGAAGAGGGTGCCTGTCTGCTTCCTCGCTCTTCCCAGTGTTTTGAGAGTGGATTTGGAGATAGTGTTCAGACTGTCTGGTACTGCCTGGTATTGCCTGGTACAGTGCTGTACGACTGTATTTTTTTTTCTTTTTTTTTATTTTTGATTTTTGGATTTTTAAAAGGTATTCACTCCCTCCTTTGCTACCCACTTTCCCCCAAAAGGTGCTTGTATTGGCTTGTCTTGATTGAAAAGGTGCTTTTCAAGGTGTTCTGTTGAAAAGGTATCTGTTCCCTCCTTCCCTCCCTCTTTTCTTTCCTTTTTTTTAAACCTAAGTCATCTTAGGTTAAAAGGAAAAAAGAAAAAAATTCTGCCCCTAGTGGTAGGAATGGATTAACCAGCTTTGCATTAGTTCCTATGGGAACTAATGATTCGAGTTACAAACTGCCCCTTGACCTAAGGACCAAAAACAGCCGGAATGGATTAATTGGTTTTCAGTGCATTCCCATGGGAAATGCTGATTTGACTTACGAACTTTTCGACTTACAAACTTCCTTCCGGAACAGATTAAGTTTGTAAGTTGAGAGTTGACTGTAACATCTTTGAATACAGACTAGGATTCTTTCCTTTTTGGCAGATTTTGTCCCATTGTTTCCTTTTGTTCCTTGTTCATATTTCTAGTCCATTGTCTGTTACTACATAATGTGCAATGTAAAGCAAGTGGCCAGCATTTTAAAATGTGTCCAGCAGATATACTTATTTCAGGAGAGAGAGAGGGACATCAGACCAACCAACCACCACATAGTCATAATGTTGCTCACATTTAGAAAAACAGGATTCCGGAAAGTAGTTCTGTACCTGAGTCATGTAATTATTCCTCTGATATGAAAATTGTATTACATTTTCTATTGTGGTGTATAAATATTTTTGTGATACTTTTTTCCCCTGAAGAAGGAAGATAAAACCAAATATCAGCCAGATAGTGTTTGGAAAGTTTCCTACTAGAAATGCCACCATTTGCTCATGCGCACGAGCACGCACGGGCACAAATGAACACACACCGCCATTTGTGAAAACGCCCGTGAGCATGCACAGATGGCAGCACGGCACTCGTGCGGGCATGCCGTAGCGTGTGCACAGATGCAAATGGGTGGCATGGGGTGAGTGCGTGCAGGGGGTTGGCGGGAGGTCTCTCTCTGCGACCTGGTCTGGTCCACGTCACGGACCTGTACTGGGCCGTGGACTGGGGGTTGGGGAACATGGCCTTAACCCCTTCGCCTTCCCAGAATTGCCCACCTCAGGGTGAAAAGGGTGGAAGTATAAAGGCTATTGGAAAAGAGCAAGGTATCTAGATATCTATAACAGAGGAGCATCCATTACAAGTAGTAGACTTCATCGGGATTTTTCCTGAAATCAAAATAAGTCATGTTTATTATCCTCCAAATAAACAAACAGACAGTTGGTTTGGGTGTTTTATTCTTATTAAATCCATAACAGCTCTTAATAATTTATTACCTCTGTTGCAGTTTATGTATTCTGTAGTTCTTATCTGACAAAGTAAGGAATATATAGTAGAGAAGCAATATGCATTACTTGTACATTGACATGTGAACTTAATCTTTACTGTAGAGCCTTTGACAGTACTTCAGTATTATTGTTTTCTGGATCTGTGTGATGCATTTTCTGGGAAAGTGCTCTAAATAAAGTTAGCTGATTTATATGTTTGGCTCTTTTTTATCCCCCAACACACATTCTTTCACAATAAGCAAACAAAATATCTCATATTTAGTAAATAGAATGACTAAAAATGCAGTCCATGCCATTTTTATGTATCATGTAAATGTATCAAAATATTTGCACTGAAATATTTGCTTGAGGGAAATTAAATTAACCAAACAATATATCTTAAGTGTTATATTGAGACTCATTGACTGAAATGCTGCTCATGCAACTATGTGCTTAGAAGGCCAATGACATCGTCAGGAGGGGGTGATTTCATAAATTAGACACTTCCTGTTCTATTCCCAGCTCCCCTTTCACCATCAAGAAGCAATGGGATTCGCAGGAAGGGAAAGGGATGTCCTTAAATTACCGAAAATTACCACTGTGGGTAATGTCACCCAAATGACGAAAGAGACTACATGGGAACTACGGGGCTTAATTTTTATGAAATTAAGAAATTTTATTTTATGAAAATTGCCCTTTCAGATGTCATCAGTCTTCCATGGGCATAGTTGTGCAAATAGATTTCAGCCATTCACAGCTTTATGTGGAAATTATTTTTTGGAACTTTGGTTAAAATCTTGCCTTAGAAGGATAACTGAACGTAAGTTCATATCCTAAATTTAGTCCATCTAAAATGAATTATTGTAGTACAGTAGCTCAGAGAACTGTGCATAATTGTAGACATACGTTGTGTGGACTGTTTTCCTCAGAAAAATACAGAAAATGTTGGAAAATACTCCACTCTATATTTCTTCTTTGAACTAAAGGCTGATTTCACAAGATTTGTTACAAATTTTATCTTATCTATAATTTTGCACTTTCATTGCATGTGTGAGAGACAGCACATTATGCCTTGTCTTGAGCTCAGGTACAACTTTTTATGTACTCCAGGTTTTATCATTTGGAATGGTGTTTCTATGTTAATTTGGTGGCTTCCTCTGCACAGCAGGGCATGATTCGGGTGGCTTATACATAAACACAGATGAATCACCAGCAACATTACATTTACTTTGAAGTCACATACGTGGTTTCTTTTATTAGAAGGATGTATAAATCTGTAGGAAATTTTTATTTACCTGATTCTTGCATTTCTGGATGGTATGAGTATAGATGGTATACTTTTCCAAGGAGAGTTTTTTACACCTTTGTGGTCAGTTGACTAGACCAGTGGTTTTTCTTACTTTCTTCAGTTTAAGCTTGAATTTTGCTATAAGAAGCTGATGATCAGAGCCACAATCAGTTCCGGGTCTTGTTTTTGCTGACTGTGTAGAATTTTTCCATCTTTGGCTGCAGAGAACATAATCAATCTGATTTTGGTATTGCCCATCTGATGATATCCATGTGTAGATTCGCCTCTTGTGTTGGAAAAGAGTGTTTGTGATGACCAGCTTGTTCTCTTGACAAACCTCTATTAGCCTTTGCCCTGCTTCGTTTTGAACTGCAAGGCCAAACCTACCTGTTGTTCCTTTTATCTCTTGACTCCCTACTTTAGCATTCCAGTCTCCTATAATGACAGGAACATCTTTCTTTGGTGTCAGTTCTATAAGGTGTTGTAAGTCTTCGTAGAATTGGTCAATTTCAGCTTCTTCAGCATTGGTGGTTGGTGCATAAACTTGGATTCCTGTGATGTTGAAAGGTCTGCCTTGGATTCGTATTGAAACCATTCTATCATTTTTGAGATGGTATCCCAGTACAGGTTTTCCCACTCTTTTGTTGACTATGAGGGCTACTCCATTTCTATGGGATTCTTGCCCACAATAGTAGATATGATAATCGTCTGAATTGAATTCGCCCATTCCCATCCATTTTAGTTCACTGATGCCCAGGATGTCAATGTTCATTCTTGCCATCTCCTGTTTGACCACATCCAGGTTCATAGATCTTACATTCCAGGTTCCTATGCAGTATTTTTCTTTACAGCATCGGACTTTCCTTTCACTTCCACGCATGTCCACAGCTTAGTGTCCTTTCAGCTTTGGCCCAACCACTTCATTAGCTCTGGAGCTACTCGTACGTTTCCTCTGCTCTTCCTCAATAGCATGTAAGATGCCTTCCAACCTGAGTGTCTCATCTTCCAGCATCATATATTTTAGCCTTTTTTTTTTTTCTGTCCATGGGGTTTTCTTGGCAAAGATACTGGAGTGGCTTGCCAGTTCCTGCTCCAGGTGGATCACGTTTAGTCAGAACTCTCCACTGTGACCTGTCTGTCTTGCGTGTCCCTGCATGGCATAGCCCATAGTTTCTCTGAATTACTCAAGCCCCTTCGCCACAACAAGGCAGCAATCTGTGAAGGGTTCAGTGATGTTGAGAAGGTGCTATTTGAAGACTCTGCTGTTCCACTAGATTTTTTGTCTTCTTGACTGAATAAGTATTTTCATCTTAGATTAAATGTGTTCTTTTGTTTTATTATTGCTTTATCTTATTTATGTACAAAACTTGGGATACTTTAAATGGTGATGACATCATCAGCCGAGAATGTTACTTGGTAATTTGAAGCTTCCTAATCTGCGCCGCAGCCCCCGCCCCCGATTCAGAATTGGGACTAATGATGGAAATTTTCAGATGTTAAAATTTAATTTTCAGATGTTAAAGATTAATATTCATCAGCCATGGATGTTAATCTTTAAGGTTTCCTATCTCACCCTCCCCCCCCCCGAGGGTCCCAGAGGCTTCCAAGATTGAAAAGAATCCTTCAGGAGCCTCAGATCTTCCTGGAGGAGGGGGGAATAGGAAACTTTAAAGATTAACATCCATAGACGATGATGTCATTATCATTTATGACCACACTGCTCTGCCAAGAGGATTCCACTCAAAATTGAAAAGTGAAATGTAAACATCTTCATAGATTAATTTGTATTTGGAAACAATAAAAAGGTTGTTGTGCTCAATTTGCATGCAGAATGAAAAAGGGTTCATATTGTTCCCAGTGTTCCTAAATAGAGTGGGTAATTTTTTTAAGTTTGTGGTTATAAATGCATGTAAGAAAAAGAGTTATACATCTAGAGCATGGGGAGAGAAAGGAAAGAATTGAAGAAGAAACATCCATTTGTATTGCATACTGATTCAGAATTGAATCCATATTAAAGATTTGGAGTTTAAATCTTTGTATAAGTATGAAACTCACAAGAATACATTCGCTGAGGTCTCACTATGAACTAAGATGAATATTATTGGAAGGGAAATGCATTTTGCTAGTTGCTTAAAAATTGTTACAATATTTTCTTCCTTTGTTTTGCTTCAGCAAAACCAAACAGGAAGCTGACATTTTTGTATCTGGCCAATGATGTTATTCAGAACAGCAAAAGAAAAGGGCCAGAATTTACGAAAGACTTTGCACCTGTCATAGTGGAGGCCTTTAAACATGTTTCCAGGTACATTATATTTTTTCATTTTATTGAGGAATATATTTGCTAGTGATGTGGTCTTTCTAGAAAACCTTTGTGGGAAAACCATTCAGGCAATGTTCCCTGTGAGTTGGGCGTGGACACAGGGACGTGCAACTCTGCCTCCCTTCACACAACACTCTTGCTGCTCTATGCAGTGATCGTGTTCATCCCCTTTGGTTCTGGTTGCTACCCTGTTTCCCTGAAAACAAGACATAAACGCAACTCTGCCTCCCTTCAAACAGCACTCTTGCTGCTCTGTGCAGTGATCGTGTTCAACCCCTTTGGTTCTGGTTGCTACCGTTTCCCTGAAAATAAGACATAACCTGATAATAAGCTCTAGTAGGATTTTTCAGGATGCTCATAATATAAGCCCTACCCCAAAAATAAGCCCTAGTTAAGTGAAACCCCGCCCTCCACCATTGTGCAGCAACCAGAAGATGACATGACTGTCTTTGAATAAATGTAGATTGTTGTACATGGAAAAAATAAAACATCCCTTGAAAATAAGCCCTAATGCATTTTTGGAGCAAAAATTAATATAAGACCCTGTCTTATTTTCGGGGAAACATGGTACAGAACTTTGCGCGGGGGGGGGGCAGAGTCATGATTGCACACAGGGGTGAAGTCATGAGAGAGAGAGGTAGAGTTGTGCCCAGTAGGGCTGAAAATTAGAGAGTATGTTGCATTCATGTGAATTTACTTAATTTGTTTTTTCTTTGAATTACCTGATTTTAATTCCCCTTACCATTAAGTATCTGAAACATCTATCTCCCATTATGAATTTCTGTTCTCCATAACTTAATGTTGGAAAAAGGAATTCAAGTTGAAGATATGTGGTTCATGAATAAAGCTTGTGAGTGTGCATTATTTCTATAGGTTGAAAAGTGCTGCTGTTCTGAGATGTAATTGTACCAAAGAAAAATTACTCTAGCTATGTATGTGAAAAATATAAAAACACTACTGGTTTGTCATGCTTTGCAGATTTTTATGAAGCAATGAGATATTTTCAGCAGTTAAATTTAGAATGTTCATCCTGGGTATCGCCAATAGAAAGAGGTCCTTTAGGAGGACCTCTTTTCAGTTTATCGATTAAAATCCAAATAACAATTTATTATTAAGTAATTTAATATAGGGTTTTTTGGCTATAGTTTCTGCTTACTCTACCATACTCCCATTTGTACTGGGGCGAATTTGTTTTTTCTCCTCACTTCAGTGAAACTGATGAGAGTTGTAAGAAGCACCTTGGTCGAGTGCTCTCTATTTGGGAAGAAAGGTCTGTTTACGAAAATGATGTATTGGAACAACTTAGGCAAGCTTTGTGTAAGTAAACTTCAGTGCATAGTTTTTATATTTCATATCTCCTCCCAATGTGTTTTTGGATTTTTAATATTTTCTCTCTTTTAGATGGTGAAAAGAATCCAAGAAAACGCACATATGAACAGATAAAGATTGAAGATAACTGCTCAACACAAAGTTCTCCATGCGATCCCCCACAGGTAGAAATAATTAATGTATAAAATTAAACCCAAGATGGAGCCTTGCTTCCACTTTTTATAAACCTTTTCAGAAAGAATCACATATATGTACATTATTTAGTTATGGGGAGCATCTGAGTAATTATGGCCAGTAGTAATCTTCAGTGTAACTATTTAAATGTTGAACTCCCAGAAGCCCTAGTCACCAGGAGCTACTAGTGCCCTCATATTTTGGCCTAAATCCAACTGTTAGTTGGACAGATCTTCAAGAGAATGCTGAATGATATATCAACATGGAGTCAGTGGATTTATTGTAGTTTGAAAAACAATTTAATTTAGACCTATATGCCTTGAGGGAGGAGATTATGATTATATATACTTCTGAATTTCAGGGGGAGTTTTTGCCATTACATAGCTAAAACTTTAGAACCCACAGAAATGAGTGAAGTTACTGGCAAGTTTAGGGGGGAAATACTAAGGAGAGAATAATGCAGTAGACTAGAGTTCTAAAACAGAAACAAGTGGAGGGCCAGGTCATAAAGATTGCTAAAAGATAAATTTTGAAAAAGAATAAAATGGACAGCTGGCGATAAGTATGAAGGGAATGGAGTGGCTGGAATGAGAGGATAGAGGAAAGAGACTTAAAACAGTACAGAAAGGATTGTCTCATCTGAATGGATCACTTCTGACACTGAGAAACATTTCTAAATGTCATTCAGGGATGGACAAGAGGACTGTTGATGGAAATCAAAAATAGAAACAACATCTTTGTGTAACTGGAATTGGGCATTGTTTTGCTTCTCCAGTCTCCACAAAAAGGTATCAAGGAAGAGAAGAGTTACTCCTCATTCTGACTCAATTCTTCTTTATATTGTTTAAATACCTTGCTAATCTGAGTTCTGAAGCAAATGCCCACTTATTCTCAAGACTAAATTTTGGAAGAAGTTGTAGCTGAGAAAGTGGTCAAAGACAGGTCTCCAGTTTTACTACTACTGAATATGGTGAGTTAAGCTTACTGTATTTTTCAAGAACCCTGCAGTACAGGTTGGACTGAAGCTGACATAATACAACAAGCCTGCAGTTGCTTTTCTTTACACAGTGCAGGTTGAGTTGAGAGAGCTGTGCACAATAAATGTGCAGTGTAGTTCACTATTCTAATGTAGATTGGAGGGTTATATTGAGAGAAGTGATACCCAGTGTGATGTAGTGGATAGAATAATGGACTAGGACTCTGGAAGTCTGGGTTCAAATATTTGCTCATCTGTGGAATCTCACTGTGGATGTCGAACTGGTAAAACTACTTTTTAAATATCTTCTTTACCTTGAAATCCCTTTTAGGTTGCTGTAAGTTGGTTCCGACTTGACGGCACATAACAAATTGAGAAAAGTACTAGTCTGTAGATATCCTACAGTACAATCCATTGTTAACATTGCAGGCCAAATAGGAATACCTAAGTTTCCAGCTCTGGTCTAACACTTTCACCATGACACCATGCTGACTTGGTCCCATTGTGTTACATTGATATCTGATAGTTTTCTAAAGGAAAGCACTCTTTTTTCAGACTGCAGATCTCATAAGAGCATTACAAGAATTAGAAAATGCTGCTTCTGGAGACGCAGCTGTTCATCAGAGGATAGCCTCCTTTCCTGTAGAGGTCCAAGATGTATCCTTGCTTGACAGAATAACAGGTAAATAAAATTATGTGTAACTCAAGTGGCAATTGCAGGGCAATATTATTTATAACGTTTAACATTCTTGTTCCCCTTTACTTTATAGATAAAGACTCTGGAGAGCAGCTTTCCAAGATGGTAGACGATGCGTGTATGTTGCTGGCGGATTATAATGGCAGATTGGCAGCTGAAATAGATGATAGAAAACAGCTAACTCGAATGTTATCAGACTTCCTGCGGTGCCAGAAAGAAGTCCTCACAGAGAAAGAGCAAACATTGGAAGTGCGTGACTTTGTTGTGGTAGTTTTATTCTCTAGCTTTTCTTTCTCTACTAAAATGCTTTTCTGTGTTTAAAATTTCTGCCCAGAGAATACAGGGAAGCTTGGCAATTTTCCCAGTTCTGTTACTTACATATTAGGCACAGGTGGCCTCTGTGGTTTGAAGGGCCTTCTGCTGACCAAGCTGTATCCCTATCTGGACAGTGTTCTGTGCTTTGGTTTCCACAGAGTTCTGTAGTGTGCTATACCTGTGGCTGCCTTTGGAGAAAGTTTCAGTAGCACAGCTAGTGCCGAATGCAGTGGCTCGGTTGGAAATGTCTAATTATAGAACATCTATTCTGGCCCAGTTGCACTGTGCACTGATACCATTCGAAATGCTGCTTTTAATCAATTAAAGCTTTAATACTTGGTGGAATACCTTGCTAGGCATAAACCTGACTGTATTCTGACACCAGCATCTGAGGTGTTACACTGAAAATTTCTCCAAGGAAGACTAAGGATAACAAAGGAGAGTTTATTTCCAGTTTTGGGTCTGTGTAAAGAATATTTTCCCCAAGGAGGTCGGTCTGTTCCCAGCATTAGCATCTGCCAGGTCAAAACAGTATTTGAAAAGATGTGGTTGGCCAGTTTTAAATTTTGGATGTAGCCCAGTTGATTAGTGCTATAATTAGTTTTATATTTTGTTGTTACTGGGTTTTTAAAAAACTTTATATATTAAATCTAGATATCTAGAGTTGTTTTTCTTAAGAGAAAGACAAAACTGAAATAAATAATAATAATCATATAAATACAGAGATCAGCAATAATTCTGTGATATTTAATGGCTCAAAAATACAGAAAAACCATTATAGTATCTCTTAGATCTCTTAGAAGTTTTTGTCTTGTTCAGCATTACAAAATATGAGATACCCAATTTGATTAAGAGCTCTGGATGATTAAGAAGCTTGCTTTTTAAAGATATTTTGATGTTGTAGTAAAAATATTACCCTACACTACTTTTTTTTTACTGATGGACCAGGCAGCTAAGTTCCTTTTTAATAATATTAGTCATATCTACTTTTGCAGTCTTTTCCGTGTAAGAGGAGGGCATCCTCACTTTATTTACTTGATTATACAGTATTATGTTGCATTAATGAGTAAAAAAATTCAGTGCTATAAAGAGTATGTAATAAAGTTATATTAAAATTCTGTCTTAAGAGCAACTAGGCAACAGCAAACTTTTAAAAAAAGCTTGTTGAAAGAAGCAAGTTTTTAATAAATGCCAAAAATTCAAGAGGATTTGGCAGCTCTCTGATTTCGTAATTTGAAGGAGTTCCAGAGGATAGTGCTATAACACTAAATGGTCTGTTCAGAATCATCATTGGCAGAGGTTTTGATAGTTTAGGAGCCACTAGGGAAGTATCTGCTGATAGGTACAGCAGCCAGACTTGCAGGTAGAAGGTCAAACAATATGATTTTGATTTGTTTAGGCCTTCGTAATCTAACCTGGTAATCTATAGTTAATCAGTACATTTCTCTCAGAATTTAATGGTCGGATGTTATATTTGTTCATATTACTATACTATCCCTGTCTATCTTGGATTATTTGAGTGGTTACTTTCTTTTATTTTAACTTTATAAATGTGAAAGTGCCTTTTTGGACATGGTATAATTTTGTTATTAAACAGCATATTCCACTGTTTTTAAACACACAGATTTTGCATATACAGTATTGGAAATGATAGACTTCCCATTTCATTGGTGTCAGCCAATATAGGCATGTTTTTTGTTAATTTTTCTTCTAAGCTGGATGCACATTTGTGAATCTAATAAGGAACACAAAGGAAACATAGGTCCACTCAAGAATAATTGTCTGTGTTTAGTAGCACCTAACTCCCAGGTAAGTAGTATAGGACTGCAGCCTAAGTTTTATAGCTCAGGAAATCAAGGCAACAGAATGAAAAAAAAAAGTTACTTTATTTCCTTCTCCACAAGATATGTATCTAACTGTCCTTATGAATATTTCACTAGATGACAGCTTTTAAAGATTCCATCTTCAGTTAGCATTTTTTTAATGTGGTTCAATTGTGGACATCACCTAATTTAAAATGGGTTGTAATGCTGGATTATTTGCATGCTTCTTTGTTTAAAAATGCTTTTAGCTTACGTTTTGCAGGTTCCCTTTTTCAAGACTGGAGAAACTTTTAAACACATACAGCAGACATGCTTATCATCTTTCTATAAATCTATAGTTGCAATTTTCTGGCTTGAGTGGGGTGGTGCTCTTAGTTGCGTGTCTGTTTGCAGAATGGCGTAATATGAGCATTCCTAGTAGTGGTAAAGCTTAATAATTACTTATTCATACTGAACAAATTTCATTTTAAAGGCATGCTCACTTGTGTTTTTTCCGCATCCTGTTAAGTGAAATCAGAGTTCATCCTATTAGGTATTTTTAAGTCTCTAAACTGGCAGCCTCTGAAGTGATTTAAAAATTTGAAGTTAAATCCAAAGCAGACACTGAAACTTGTGAACATTTGTTATCCCGTAGACTAACAGAACAAATTTATTATATGGTAGCTTGTCAGAAAAGACAGTATTATTGATTTAAAGTTCTTCTGACTTCCATGTGGGTAAGTAGTGTTTTACTACTTTTGTAGTAGGACATCCTTAACATCTATTTAGGTGTTTGTTTTTCAGGTGAGGACTATGGACCTTTTCTTCCAATGATGACACCTTCCATTATGTAGTAATGCATCCTGCTAAAAATAAAGTTGAGAATCAAAATCCTGTTTTGTCTCCTGTTTTTCGAACTTGAAAAACCTACCTGCATCTGCTCCAGATTACCTTTTAATCATTCTTTTCATATTTTGCAGACACCAGCTAAACAGAATGACATTCCAGAAGCAAAACACATAGCAGCTAATTTAGTATTAATTTGCTTTATCAGATTTCCTAGAAATTTGAAAATCTGCTTTAAATTTTACTGTATTTTAAATAATTAGGCGTGAGTGACAATCAGAGTTTGTTTAGAATTCAAATATGCATCTTCCAACAGCCTTTTATGAGAATTTTTGAATTCACATATTTCCATTAATGAGTTATTTTTCATGTGGTCCGTTGAAGTGACAGGTTTACCACATGATTACCTTTTCTCTGTTGGCAGCTACCCTGTTTCTCCAAAAATAAAACCTAACCTGAAAATAAGCCCTAGTATGATTTTTCAGGATGCTCTTAATATAAGCCCGACCCCCAAAATAAGCCCCAGTTAAGTGAAACCCCGCCCTCCACCATTGTGCAGCAACCAGAAGATGACATGACTGTCTTTGAATAAATGTAGATTGTTGTACATGAAAAAAATAAACATACCCTGAAAATAAGCCCTAATGCATTTTTGGAGCAAAAATTAATATAAGACCCTGTCTTATTTTCAGGGAAACACGGTAATTATATAAGTTATAACCAGTGTCATCTAGTTAGGGTAGGGGAGAGCTTTCTGTAAAGGACTATATTTCATCCAGGATAATGTGTAAGCCATACTGTATATTGGTGGTAGATATGACCATGTTTACACACCATAACTTTTTATTACTCACCCCTGTATTCTCTGACCTGTGGCTTGAAAAGTTGGTGGATGCTTAGCAATTTGCCCAGTCATTTCTATTACCATCCCCTTCTGTTTTGTCATACGTAGGAGGGTCTTTGCTTGGCAGCCATATCATGATACCAAACAGTAGCAATCAATGATATTTTAATAGGATCGTGAAAAATGGGTTTGTGTCATCCAGGGATATTGGAGCAGAAGAAAAACCCATTGCTATGAGCCCAGCCCTGTATGCATTTACTCTGCTGGAGAAACTAGAGGGACCATGTTTTCCCATCACAACAGTGGGATGTAATTGGAATAGGATCTTTCCCTCATGAATCTAGTCTGTTGTGAAAAGTGACTTTCATTTTCATAGTCTTCCTGATCTGGACTTGTTAAAAAGAATTTACAAGAGTGCTTGGATTATAGAGTGAAATCTTCCACGATCCCATTCCTCAGTATCTTGAGTGAGGTCAGGTTTTATCCTACTTTCAACTCTGGTCCCAGATTCCAGGCTGGTAACTATTTATCTTTATAGCACTCAGGGGATCCATGGATAACTAGATCAGTCCTTACCTGCATGTTACTCATTTTCACATACTTGTTTGGGTTCAATTCCATTGTGTAACAGAATTTAACATGGAGATTACGTTCTTGATTTTTTTCCCCCCAATTCTGCTCTGCTTATCCCCACTTCGAGCTCCCAGTGAAAAGAAGACAGCCTGATTTCTTCTGTTTTTGCTGAGATGATTCTTGATAATCCTAGTGGTAGTAACATGCAGGTTGTTTGTGATCTAGTTTGATGCCAGTTTATCTTGTTGAATAAAACTTTTATAGGAGTCACTGCAAACTAAACCAGCTTCTGGTTGCATGGCTTCATTTCAGTATTCATGTCAGCACCAGCACTCCCTGTCCCATTTCTCAGGCATAATAGAGCATTATTAGAAATGATAGAACATAACCCTCAAGGGCTCAAACCCCCCAGAACTTTTACAGCCTTTCTGGTTATTGTCACCATTTTATTTTTAAGAAATGCTGGATATGGGTTAAAACAAGACATACCAGGAGTACATGCCTTGTTTAGGATCATTTAGTACACCTAAACAAAGTATGCAATCTTTGTGTGTCTTTGTTGTTGTCATCATTGGTTTTTTTGCAGATTTGCTTTCTTTGCTGCTGCTACTATGCTGTTGAGGCTGCAGCTCTTGGTGGTTTGGCAAGGTGGATTTATTCCCTCCCCTATCTTTGCCTTGCAAAACTGAACACTTTCAGATAATCACAGTTCAGTGCACCATCCAAGTTGTTCTCCTTTACCCCCGTTATCACAAGTGGAAGTCAGTTTGTTTCAGTAAACAGTAGCAACATAAAATCATTGTTTGTTGGGGTAGTTAGCATTAAAGTTCACATCTAGTGCTATACTGTACTCTGTTTAGTTAATGTTTTCTGAACCCCACATACCCATGCCGGAAAAAGAGAAGCAGGGAGAGAACCTACAGGTACCTGGCTTTTATGTAAAAGCTTTAATGTTAGTAACTGGTTGTTATATACAAATTGCAAATACAGCAGGACTGCGGTATCCTTGGTGAACAGGGATTGGTTCCAAGCCCTCCCCTCCTGGATGCCTGGGATATAGCATAGATATTATTTAGTTCCCTCTGTTGACTAGTTCTGGTAGTACATCTTGGAAACATGTCTTTCGGGCTGGGTGTTTAATATTTTCAGGCCTCAGATAAGTGAAATCACGGGTACTGATCACACCAATATGACAGTCCTACTGTAATTTCACCCATCTGTCACAGGGACTCTTCCACAAGGTGCAGATCAAACAAAAAAAATCAGCTCCTATAGCATGGATGGCACCTCTGCCCCTTGGGTCTAATAGAGCCTGAAGGAGATCTTTTTGGTGTGTTAAGCTTCTCCCCTAGGCCTCTCCCCTTTGGGGGCTGAAGTGCCTCTATTTGGTGCCACAACTTAATGCGAGTCACGGATTGTGTACTTCTTCCTTAATATGGTTGTCAGTCAGAAATAATTTGCCCAGTAGTGAGTTTTAACTTGAAGAACCTTTGCTTTCAAACTGTTGAAATCACTGCACTGGATACAAAAATCACAAACTAGAATACATTTGTATTAGAGATGGGCATGGACAATAAAAATTGTGGTTTGTGATGGTTTGTGGTTAACCATCAACCACCTGGGAAACGAACTGGTTAGTGGTGGTTCAGGCCCATCTCTGCCCTCCCCTGCTTCTGTCATCTTCCCTATTTGCCTTCATTGCCTTGGTCTCCCTGGGTGGCCCAGAGAGGCAAGGCAGCAATGGAGAAGCCATCCAAAGGAGCCTGGTTGCAGCCTTTGTGCATATGCCCACTGGCCAGCTGGTTGCCAGGGAAGCAGCATTTTTGGCAACCAGCTGGCTGGGGGGTTCATATTCAGAGGCAGTCAGCCAGCTCCTGGCTTCTCTGCAGCTGCCATCACCTCTCCAGATGATCCAGGGAGGCAATGGTGGTGACAGAGAAGCCAGCTAGAGGAGCCCAGTCACCTTTGAGCATGTACTTGCCTCCCAGCTGATTGCCCTGTTCAGCTGGGAGGTGGGTGCATGCTCTGAGGCAGCAGTTGAGCTCTTCACTGCCTCTGAGAATGCAGTTGCCTCCCAGCTGATCACACTGACTGGCTTCACTGCAAGAAGTCCAGTCACTGCCTCAGAGCACGGCATCTGGGTGCCTGGAGAGAAGGCAAAGGCGTGGGCAAGAGGAAGTAAGCAGAGGCAGTGGGCACAGCAGGAAGGGGTGGGTAGTCAGGCCTTCACCTTTTACCAAACCACATGAAGTGCCAAAGGGGAAAAATCCAGTATTTTGCTTTGGCAGGTCATGAACCAAACACTGTCTACTTTTTTGGTTCATGGTTCACTTAATGTGATCTCTATAATGTTTATCTTTCATGCATATTTAGGGGCTTTGGCATGAAAAATGAGTGCGTTTTAACAGCTGCCCCATCAAAAACACTTAGAAGTAGTTTGTCTTCTGTAGGGGCCTACTATTTAAAAAATACAAGCCAAAAGCCCTACTAAGCATGGTACGGTGCTGGTACAGATATTTGAATGCCATTTGTAATAAGTAATAGTCCTTATGCTTAGTACATCCTATCATGCTTTGTGAGGGAGGTATAACTCACCGAGTGGTTTTCAGTGTGACTATTTCTCAATGTCGCCCTCTTTAAGTACATTGTTTCATGGTAGAAAGTGGTGACATTAATCAGCTACAGATACAGGCTTATTTTTTAAGCTTGATCATTTCAAGGTTCGGATTTTTCATTTCTCCAGTACAAGATTATTCTAACCTGGATCCAGCACCCAGTTATATGCCTTTTGTCTCCACTAAAATTCTTTTTTGCCACTTTCACCCCCAAAAGCCCATATTCATGTATATTTTTAAGTGTAAACATTTAAATACATTTTCATTTGTGAACCTTACTAGAACCTCAAAAATATATGGATTGTGTCAGCCTAGGCTTGGGTCTGAAAGGTGAAAAGTGGGTAATCGCACATTAAAATGTGAATCCCATGACCTTCTACACATCCCTTGCTCAAAACAAGATCCTCTGAAACAGGGCTTAAAACAATATGTAGTTGCTTTTAAAGGCACATGACATGGCAGCAGTTTGTTTTACCTATATCTTAACCAACCAGATAGGCGGGATATTAAATAAATAAATAAATAAATAAATACATGCATGCATACATACATACATACATACATACATACATACATACATACATACATACATACATACATACATACATACATACATACATACATACATAAATCAGTAGTCACTAGTGCTGAAATGTAATGTGAAGGCAATTACATTTGTCCATGTGTTAGGCTCCCCTCCCTTGTGTAGCACTACCATAGTGTTACAGTTGTTTTGTTTTGTGTTCTCAACCAGGGTCCATAATTGCTGGTTATTGTTTGAAAACAGAATTTACTCATGCCCTGTTTACTCCTATCCTGGAACATAGCAGTAGACAACCTCATGTGTTCCAAATGTTTTGGATAGGAATGCTCATAATCCGACTGTTTGCCATAATGGCT